TCTTTTAAGCCCCACCACAAGCGATTACTTCCAACTAGCTTATAGAAATACATTTGCAGTCATTCAAACTCAACCAGCAGACCTGTGCATTTTGTACAAATCAATTAACAATTTTAAGCACTTTCTGTGAATGAATTAAATGCTATTCTTATCTCTTCAGGCAAAACATTCTAAAATTGAATACAAAGGCATATATGTGGATATGAGGATATGTAGCTCACTGCTATATGGAAAAAAAAAAAAAATTTTACACTTCTGGGTTGGTCATAATTTTAAGTAAAAACTCCTCCTCATTTCAACACCATTATATACTTTTAAAAAAAATACAGCACAATTACAAGTATTGAATATAAAATCTTGTTTCAATTTTATGAAATTTTTGTTTGAAATTTTTGCAAAAGCAGCTTGAATTTCTAAAATGGTCTTTGTCAACCATCAACATTTATTTTCAAAAATACCACCCAATGTATAGATAAGAAAGTTTTTTTTCCCCTGAAACTTATGAATTCAATTCACTTTCTCTATTTTCTGGGAACCTGAGTTGAATGTTAAAGAAATGTTTCTCTTTGTCTGGTAATGAAAAGCATTAAGTATATGAAAGCTAAAGCAAACTTTCAAAGTAAAACTTCTTCATTAAAAAACTCACCACACTGCTATTGCTACTACTACTGATTCCGTCGGATGAACTCTGATAAGTTCTGCGCTTAAGAATTACTGCTGACCCCATGATATTATTTCTGGATTAGAAATTAAGCCTTTTTAAAAAGCTGTTTGCAAATTTTGTTAGATTTTATTTTCCAAAAACACTGAACCTCATAAACAATTCATAAGAATCTTAATGGAAATTTCACTTTCACGTCTCATTGTGTTCAGGTTTCACAATTTAAAATTAAAATAATGGCTTGAAATTAAACACAAGCACTAGTATTTGTATAGCCATTTTAATTGGTACATTGTCAATGGCAGTTTGCAAACTATATTTATTTAGTTTAGAAAAAAAACTTTAGAGACAGTGCATTACAGAGGTAATATATAATTCCAATTTTGCCTCTTATGTTAACAACATTCACTAAAGTCTGTGACAATTCCACCCACAGATATTTGTTCATCTCATGACACAGTCTATCAAACTGCAGGTGGGTGTAATTTCATAACAAAAGTGAATGTCAGCTGTGCTAAAGAACACAGATCAAGAGGAGAATTTTAATAAAGAAGCTAATGAAACATTGTTTTCATTTTACCTGTAATTGGGTTGAGATGCATTGGCATTAATTTCTTTTCAAAAATTTAATTCAAACTTCCTTAAAATGAACCAATTGATGTAAAACAAAATCATACCATGATGAATTCATCAGACATTGTTTATTACTGAAATATTAAAAAGTTAGTTTTGTCATCTGAGTAAATAAATAAGAAAATAATTTGGGATGCACTAGAGTAAAAATATAGCAGTCTAATGAAAAATACAATAATTTGATGCTTTAATTGAAGTTTTAACTACTTGTTCAAGAGCTTTCATTGGATGTCTCTTAACCCTTTACATCCTAACATCAATATGCATATTCTCCATACTGGTCTCTATACATTTCCTAATGTGCTAGTGAGGAGAATTTGTTTCACAATCAAGAGGTTCTTCAGTTAATTGTCATTTCCTTTATTCTCATGACCTTGATGTTTGATTTAAGGGTGATATTGAAGGGAGAAATTAGATGCTGATCACTCTCAGGGATTAAAGAGTTAAATTCAAACTCATGCATCTATCAATGCCTGGATAGAAAATGTAGATATTATCTTTCCACTTCAAAAAGTAATATTGATCGAGACTTTTGTATATCACAAAAGGCTTATGTTACATTTTTGTTTACACAGCAGAGGTTTACAACGACAATACCTGGGAACCAATACACATTTATTATTTTTGTTGCTTAGTAACAGCCCAAGATCATTATCTAGTAGAGACAATTCTAGCATTCAATACCAATGATAACAATACTTTGCAATGAATTTAAACCCCATCAAAGAACAAAGGATTAATAAAAAACAACAAGAAGGATTACCAAAAGTCAAAACAAAGACATATAAGAATCTATCATTCAAAGAGGAGACTAACAGCTCAAATGGTTTTCAAATTGTCTACACATGCGCCCAAAAATTTATGTGTGATTGAGCTCTCAGGTTTTAAAAAAATCTTAAGGCTGTGACCACGCTAAGAAAGTTAATGCCAGTTGAAAGTTTATGTTAATGATCCTTAGACAGCAAAAAAAAGGGATTTGTAATCTAAGAAAAATTTAACTCTTTGTCCCAAACATGTTGGTCTTCTAACCATACTTTCAGTTATCAGTAGTTCTGAGATTGTACTTAAATATTTTCTGTACCAGTGTGGGAAAATGTCAAATATACAGAAAGTATTATTTACTAAATGAAACATAACTTTGTGCTGGTTGTTTTTCACAGCAATAAAACTGAAATCCATTAATTTGTTTTGAGCAAGAAATCAGATTTCATTAATCATCATAAATTTTTTTCTAGGCTTGAGAAAAATTGATGAAGCTACTGTAACAGTGTATGAATTAAATCAACTTAATGATTTTCAACCGAGAAAAAGTTTTTCCCAGTTTTTATAGATTATCTGCACCATTTCTTTTCTTAAGGAGGAAATTAATGCTGTTCAAATAAAAAATTAATTTAAAAAGTGATAGATAAGAAGGGTTCGAATTTCAAATAACAATTTTATGTTATTAAATGAAGCATCAAGTGCTTGTGACGTATTTAAAAACGGTGACCACCACAAGAAATTATGCAAACATGCATATGCGCGCAACTGGAAAAAAAATATTTTCCCTGATTAGATCAAAATGAAGTTGTGCAACCGTGAAAAGTGAGAAAAAGAGGCATTGTTTGTTATCGATTCTTCAACCTTCATTTGCTCTTTCAAATCCGTATCCTCAATTACGACGTCGTATATAATAGAAACTACCACGTTCTTGCGCATGAAAATTTCCCCCGTCAAATTTGAACCTATTCCATATTTCGATGGTATCAGATTTCCGATGATGAAACAATAAGGATCGATTAATTGTCAGTAATTTTTTTGTAATTTTAAGGCCGATATCATGGTTTTTACAGTTTAAATTGGAGCGCTACAATTGATTTGAGAAGAATTACAGCAGTCTTTCACAGTCTATCGTCGAGATTGTCTGAACTGAAATCGACACGGCTGGACGTTGTGTATTACACACGTGTTATTGAATTTAACCGGCTGAATTACGTAAATCATCCAAGAATCTGCATTTAACTCCAAAACATAACGTAGTTTTAGGCTACCAAATGGTTGCGACGAGGTTATAGTTCGAATCAGACACGATTGGGGAACCTATCTGGGCTTGAAACTGCTAAGACCGCAACCACACTGCAACTTGGAAAGCTGTAATCGTTTAGCTGTCAAGATTATTACCTGTGCAAGGTTTATGGATTTCTTCGATCTTGTTTGCTTCAAGAAAGGAAGCAGGTGCTGTTTTCTGTCTTTTGATCGCTCTTCTTTCCCCATCGATGCCCTGAAAAGATATAAAATACCATGTTATTGTCCCAAGTACAAAGCTTCGACATTTCATTATGTGGTATCTCGTCACTCACGGTGCGCAAAGTGTAAACAAAGACCACAAGAACCTAAAATATTTACTCAACGAAAACAGCTTGAAATGAAAATAATATTCGGTCAAACAAAGCAGAAGTTACAATTTGGGAGCTGCTTACTTTCTTTCAGAAGGAGGGCCGTTCATTCCTCCATCTTCAGTATGTAAACTCTTTGAGCTTTACAAGGCACCAAAGCGTGCAAAAGCAATCGAAAAATTTTCCTCTAAGAGCATGTAGAGTCTTCATAAACCATCAGCCAGCTCCGTAAATTGGTATCTAGTAGCTTAAGATCCAAATATTTTCAGAATGAAGAGTTTTTCTTGAAGTTACCCCACTCAACTGGCGCTTTTGAGAAGCGCGTGTTGAACACCCGCGCGAGCAGGACACTTTTATCACGTCAGTTGCCAAATATCACCTTGGCAACCGGCAAATGAAAAGCCACGCGCGCTTGAGTAGAGAATTCTTTTAGCACTTCAATAAGGCACGTTAATCCCTTGAAAGTTTACACAATCTTCTTTACTGTTTACACAAACTTCGCAAGCCTGCGTAAGCAAACAAAGCTATAAAAAAGTACTCGTTTTAAAAAGCCATTTGTGAAAGTTTTGGTCCACAAAATAAACAAGAGCAGAGTCCTCTTGAGTTTCGTTGACATAAAAGTGCAAAAAAAAAAAAATTGTATGTAAATTAAATTTATCCGCCAGCTTTCTTTTCCAATTAATAGAAAAAGGTTGTGATTTTTGCACGAAAATCAAGGGAATCAAAACGAGCTCTAAACTTAAACTGAATACACTAAGTAGAGTGTGAGCGATGTCCAACGTACGTGTGAAAGAGAGAGTACCATCGACTGGGTTGTTCGCCGGTCTCAGTAACTTTTAAAGAGACTAATTCATGACGTTCCCTGGCCAACTGGAGCGATAAACGATTCCCTTTCTCGCAGCGATCATATCAACTTATCAAATCAGTTCAAATGTGAGCACAACTCGATTGAGGAAAAAAGATGTCACTGATACAAAGATTTTCACACAAAAAGCATCTCCATATAGCACCAAGCGAATCATAACCGCGATATGTACTTGCGTATTGTCCTTTATCTGGAAAGTAAATGCCACAAACAAACAAAAACAGAAACTGAAATTATCGAAAAACGAAGTGTCCCTAAAAATTTCCCACTTTTTTGCATGCGATATTTTTTGGCCGTAAACATTGAAAAAGTTTAAATGTTAGTCGCAAAAAAAAAAAGGAAATCGTAAATTTTTTTCCCGGTGACCGCAATGGGAAAATATAAACCGTTAGCCGTAAATTGGCCAAAATTTTAACCGTTAGCCGTAAAAGCCATTACCACATTGAGACCATCAATACAAAGGTAGCACCGTCTAAATAAATGCATATTTATAAGTACAGCCTCACTTTTTCCAACATCAGTCCTAAAACCCTGTTATGGTTCATTTGATAGAGCTTAAATAGCTTACTGACAACCTCGATCGAACCTCGAGGCGAGAGCAATGTCCGTAATAGAGTTATTCAACGTTGATCGTACGAGAAGCACACAACAAAGGCTTTAGAGAAAATTATCAATGACTTTTGGGACGCAATTTCCCTCAAAGATTCCTCTCAGTCGGTTCTTTGTAATCCATGCCGATTATTTCAAAGATGTCTTGTTCACTTGAGACTGGAATCGGTTCTCCCGGTACACCTATAACGGCAATGACAAACTCTGAGTAATAGCTGTCATTTCAATGATGCCACAGTAAAGTCCACGACGACTTCACGTACATAGAGATGTCGATACATTTAGAATTTAGCATTGTGCCTAGAAGCAGGCTCCTAATCGCGCTAGGTTTCCCGTACAGTTGGCGGGTACTTAGTCATACTCCTAGGCGGAGAGGGACTGTGTAAGAGTGTAAGGTCTCGATCTATGACTCGAGCGAAGAGTTCAACCCAAATATTTCCATTCGGAGCAGGGCATGCTGGCCGCCACGAACCGCGTCACCGTCATGCTCCAGCATTTCAACTACACCAAATGCCCAAAGCAATTTTATAGATAGTAAATCTATGGTGATCGCCAGTCTCGTGGTAACCGCGTTCCGCTTTGCATAGCGGGCGGGCACTCGATCATAGTGGAACACAGTTGCCAGGGGCATTTCTGTCATTACTTCTCATAAAAGCACTATACAAAAAAAAACCTTACCTGTGCTTCCCAGTGGCCTGAAATGGAAGAAAAAAATGCTTTCAATATTGTATACGAGATTGCGATTCTTCAAGGTGGTTAACAGCAAGACTAAAGTGTCGTGATGAAAGTAGTAGGGACCTTAAGCAGTCAGGACGGCAACGCCAAGGAAGTCTTCGATTAAAAATGAATTTCTGCCTTTAATTAGAATTTCAAAAATGGTCGCATGTGTTTACCGTCTCATACGGCGCCACACCTTAACTTTACCATAACGTATAAAAGAAGCGTTGAGTTCTAAATGGAACTTAAAGTAATTTGCCGTCGCGGTTTCGGTTCGCAGACGACGCAAATTGTGCCGATTTCAAGTTGTTGTTTTGCATGGGACGGCTGAGAAATGCACAAAGTTTTAAAACACACGTGCCGAGCTATTGTTCTGCCAATTAGATCTTTTGTTTTTCTATGTCCTCGTTGCCGCCGCCGTCGTGGTTTGCTTAAGGTCCCTAGTTACTTGTCGACGACGTGCTCTGCTTCATTCTGTTGTCTGCTTCAGAAAATACTTTCGTCACGTATCTATTCGCACGTTATCATAAGACACTTACCTTATAGAATATTCATTGAGAGTAAAACCTTTCTCTAATGCCTCGTGTCGCATTCTTCTGTTAAATTCGTCACTGCCAGTGAAGTACAAAATCCCACAGAAGTACTGATCATTAGGGATTAACCTGCAATAGTTGAAAGATCAAGTAGTTCAGTTACCCTTCGTGACACCTTAACATCAGTATGCGTATCCTCCATACTGACGGTGAATAAATGAAAATCACAAATATGATTTTCAGTAATTCACATATGCAGTAATTCATTCATATCTTCACGGGTTTATCATGAACCAACAAAATGGCCCGCTCCCAGTTGGCTCGTGGAGCTCGGAAGAGCATTGCATCGGCATCGCAGAGGTCATGGGTTCAACTCCCATACAGGCCTGAGTTTTTCCAGTATTTACTTTCACTACTGCTTATTATAAGTAGTGTTCATTACTTCGAAGTTCACTCACGTGTTCATTTTCCACACTGTTTTCTGAACGTTCCCAAAGGTGCTGACAAGGATAATTTGTTAAATAATCGAGATCTTTTTTACTTCGTGATCATTTCCTTTATTCTCACGACCTTAATGTGTGATTCAGGGGTAATACTGTTGGGAGAAATTAGAAACTAGTCACCCTTTGGGCTTAAAAGGTTAACTTGTCAACATTATGAACTTGTGGACGATTGGCACTTGCAAAAACTAAACGTTGGTTTTTCTAAATGGTGCCAAGAGGGCTTCATCCTGAAACAGAAATTCACCTTTTTTCCTAAACGATGTTCTCTGCTTGGAAATCTTAATTGGCACGAATAAGTTTGTTTATGCTAATAAAAATCTAGTTCTAAATCACGAGACAATCGTTTCCGTACCTGATATCAATCCTTCTGTGTAATGATTTTTCTGATTTCGGTAGGATACAGACCCCCTATCAAAGTAATGAATCATCACTGACAACTGCACTTTCTATGATCTATCAAGGTAAGTTCTTCTGCCGAAAGGTTTATCCGCGTGCGCGCTACACACTGCAAGTGCACATTTTGATCATATGGCTTGAACAACAGGTACTCAACTAAAGAAAATAAAGTTGTTGAATATATAATTGAGGACGAGTAAAATACGAAAGGATCAAAGATGCAAAGGACCAAGCCACAAAGGCACAAAAGGCCTTAAGGCTCGAAGAAACGAACGGATGGAGAGACGAATGGGAGAACGCATAGAGACACCAATAGACGAAGGCACGAAGGCACGAAGGCACAAAGGCACGAAGGCACGAAGGCACGAAGGCACGAAGGCATCGAGGCATTATCAACCAAAGAAACGGCCAGAAAAAGAGAGAAAAGAAAGTACAAAGAAATAGAAACACAAAGAAACGTAAAAAAATTAAGGGGAAAGGAATAACTGATGAAAGTACGGAAGAGTTTTGAATAGACTTAAGCAAAAATTCATCATTTATTTGAGATTCCTGGGGAATGCTTAGGGAGCATTAACAGCCTCTGTTGTTCTAGAGGTTTGTTCAATAAGATTTGCAAATACTACTGCAGTGGAATCCTTACCATAAACTTAGTATCACCGAGGGATATTGAATCTGTCACAAAGCCCGCTTTAGTCAGCGTGTCAACGATACCACGCAGAAGAGCCTTCTGCAATTGGAAATTGAAAAATATTTTAATTTCATAATATAAAAAAACGAAATGAAGCTTATTGCAAAGGAAAAAATTATAGTGGAACTTTGAGATGGGAGGGTGGATGGCGCATTAGCCCAGGTTCGATACGAACTTAGCATTAATTATGAGTTAAAAGGAGGAGTATGGTCTAGAAACCACATAATTTTCATGTCTGCTCTTAAAAAGTTTACACGAAATTTTGACATTGATGGCATGTTCAAATTTCAAAGAACCCGATCAACCCGATCTTTCTAAAAATTGAATTCAAAAATTCCAGTTTGATCCAGAATCAAAGAGCAAAGAACCATTTCGAAGATATCCAACTGCGAAATTCTAAAGTTTGGTTACAGCGTCACATTCAAGGTTAATACCGTTCATATTTCGAACAACGAAGGAGACGCTCCCTCCACTATTCAAATCTCTCACCTTGTCAAAGTCGGTATCGGTAGACACAAACGAAGGGTGTGTCACTAATACGTCAATGTCTCCACTAGAAGAGGCTCCTGAAATTGCAAATTAGAAAATAGAAGGGCTTAGTGGCTCCGGTTGAAGGACAAGTGCATGGGTTTGTCATGAGACCACCAATTCATTTGAAGGCCAAAAAAACCATATAAAATTGCACTGATTTTGCTTCACTTCGTTCTAAGACAGCTGTAGTAGGCAACTTGCTAACCCTGTCACCAATTTAGGTGCAAAACGAAAGTCAACTGATTCTTGGTTATTCACATATTCGCGCGTGTTAACATGTATTCACTTTGAGTTAGTTATACAAAAATTTATCGGTTCTCTGAGGCGGCAACGATCACGTTAGGTTTGGTTCCATGGTACTCATTTAGAACGCAATCTATCATAAGGTCACGACTAGGTTATCATTAGTGTCTTCTTTCCTGCTGAACCCGTGTAGACCAAGCTTACAAAGTGCATGAGCCATTTCAGTAGAAACCTGTTTCAAGGTATGTACCATTGATATTCAGCACCTTTAACCTTTTAACTCCAAGATCTCAATAGTAATTCTCCTTACTGTCTACCAAATTATTCTCATCGTGTTAGTTTTGATAATTTAGTATTGGATCAATCAGTAATCCCATTATTGATATTTTTCTTTATTCTCATCACTTGTCCACATGATATTGTATCAGATATAGTAAGGAGAAATTCTGTCTTGGTCACTCGCAGGAGTTAAGGAAATAAGAGATACTTTAGCCCAAAGTTGATGACATTTTCTTGAATTTTTCTTAATGTAATTACCTCTCCTAAAACTTCCACAAACTGTTGGGATAACATCTTTGTCATACTTTTCTATTTTCTTTAAGATTATTTCCTGAGAGGCAAAAAAAGTTTTGACAAATTACAACATGTTGGACACATTTGTGGGAAAGAAGATACACACCTTAAAAAAGAAACAAACAAGCAAACAAAAACAAGAAGAGGATAGAAAATCAATAGAGAAAATTAAATGCAGTTTTTGGCTTGAAAATTTGAGAAATTTCGAGAAAATTTGAAAATTTTGAAAGTTTGAGGAGATAGTCATAAGACTAAGAGTGAAGAAACCACATTATTCTAAAACCAACTCAAAGTTACAAGGTCTAAGCTGACATGTTCTTTTAAGGAGATTAGAAAGATCTAAAGTCAGGTTTGCTCAATCATTCTACCAGATCTGTCATCCACATGTACTTACCTGAAGTTGCAGCATCTCATCTCGTGGTATACGCTTCTCAAATTCTTCAAGATATCTAATTTAAAAAATTGAGAGACTTCTCATTGTAAAGTTCCAAATTAAAGCAAACGCCCACTGAACTTATTGAAAGAATGTGATTACTGTTTGCAAAACTGTTCGCAAAAACTTTTCAAAGGTAGCAACACCTCAAAAGAAGTGACTTTTGAAAGCTGCAACTCAAAATCAAAGCAATTTCACATTTATTAATTCTGCCATCAAATAAACACTGAAGTCATGTTTCTTGCATGTTTTTAAAAAATTGCCCACAAGGAGCTAATTATGCTCTAAAATAAGTAACCCTCAGAAACCAAAATAGGAAAAGAAAATTCTAAAATTATATAAAAAAAAGTGGTACTTATATAGTCATTAAGGAGGGAAGTTTAGCTAAAATATCTGAAAGTACATTCAGATTTAATTTAACAGTAACTTTGGTATGTCTGAGAAAATAAATTTTCCTAAATTGTCTAATTGCAAGAGTGACAATAGTACCATTACAAGACTTGAATGTAAAGGACTTAAAAATGCTAGTTTATTAAGTAGTTTATTGTGTGTTACCTTCAGTTTACATGTCACTTACTTGAGTCCAATTTTCTGGTGGTGATTAAGACGTTCTTGAACCTTTTTCAAACCTACAAAAAAAATAACAGGATGGTAACCACATGGTAATAACAGTATACCACAAAGTATCGCAGTTTCAAAAAAACAGTTTCAAATGCAACCTGACAAAAATGGTTAAAGTTACATTATTAATAAAGGAGTTTTCCCATTCTTGCTTGAGAGATGGCAGTACATGTAAGACTTAAACTATGTCATTTTTGAATAAAGCATTACGCCGTTGCTGGTCTTTTGCATTAGTTTTATGAAACATGCACAAAGTGTCAGCCTGCTGTAGGCTGCAGCAGTTGGTTACCACTTTACTTGTAAGCTTAGGCTACCTTCTAGTGATACCACTCCATCTTCTACAAACTTGTGTGCAGCAGCAGGCCTGCATACCAAAAAAAAAAAAGGAAAACGTTATCCTTCACTGCATGCAATTTTTCTTAAGTTCCCTTTCGTGAACCAAATTAAAAGTTTACTACATGACCTGAAAATAACAATTAGTATCAATAATTATTACATGGTGTGCACCTAAGCAAAATACAAAATAATTTAAAACATAAAACATTGGTTCAGTCTGATATTTACATTTTTCATAAAGCAAACTTACAGTGTAAAACTGATCTAACATCTCAAACCAGAAATTTTATAGTAAAAATCACTCACCCAATACCAGACACTCTTGTCAGCTCCTGTATGGCTTTGGTACTGTCATCTGCTCTTATCTGAAAAAATTTTAGAATCACATAAAGCAGCAGTAATCTTTAAAAATACAATAGGCAAGAGACAGATTAAAAAGGTCTGGGTCCTAGCCCTGATTGAGGTCATAGTGTCGTGTTTGCTTGTTCCAGGCTCTCAGTTTAGGGAGGTGGGGGAGAAGGTCAGAGGGGGTGTTGAAAAAGTGGGGCAAGGAAAAGAGAAAACTTTCAGTGAGGGGAACCTAGTTGAGTTGTTGTCTGGCTAATTTTTTCTTTGCCTGGCCCCCTTTCATTTTTGGTTGCCTGCTTTTTCACTGCTTTCCAATATTGTATCATTGGGCAAGATACTAAATGCTGGACTGTCACTACACCTCTCTCCATCCTGAAATATTAATGGTACCAGTGAACTGTCAAGGAAGCATGAGGGGGGCAGGCAGGAGGAGAGGCATCCCATTCAGGGAAGAGTCACAATACTCCTAGTCCTTTCACACTATGAAAATCAGGGAAAGTACAGGCACCCTATGGGCCAAT